TTTGATCAGCTGAAAAAAACAAGACGTGGGCTGCGATTCAGAGGTTTATAGGCACCAGATAAATTCAGAAGTAAAGTTATTGCACGCACATTAAAACCCACCACAAAAGCAAGCAATCTCCACTTTGGTGTAAAGTTTGCTTTTCACTTTAGTGGTAATGACATTAACAGATATGTCAAAACTGTTGGATATGAGCACTTTTGCATGTACCACTGTACAAAAATAAAAAGGAGCAAAACCTAATATGGGCAATGCATTGACCTTGGAAAAAGCCAAGAGTGTAATGAGTCTTCTTTGATATTATCAGGACATTACACATTACTGGAAGGGGTGCAAATTCCAACAAACCTCATTATATGCAGCATCACTAGTCCTTAGTATATTCTATTTTGGCAAAAGTTATCTTTTTATTGCATAAAACTGCATTTAAAAATGTATTTAGATAGCTGGCAGCCGTTAGTGACTGTGTTTTTCCAGGAAAGCTACCTCTAGAGAGAGCAAAGCTAATTCATGGTCAAGTGAGTAAGTCTTAACGAATACAGTGCCAATACCACAAACTTTACAACGGACAGACTTACGGAAACTAAGTAGTCATATTGGAACTTTACTGTATTGTTAAAAAAGCATATAAAACGTTCTCTATGAAAGAGGAATAGATTTATTTGCGGCTATGTTTTCTGTTACTTTTCATATGGTGGATATCGAGATCTTATAATATCGTACACATGATAGTGACCCTCAGGTATATCAGTAGACAACTATAGGTTCTGAGCTCTAACACATTTAAGGTCTTCTGGTGTTTATGTTTGTGCCAATATTCTAAGAAAAGTCCAACTCATGACTACTGAGGGGGAAACTTCTGTAGCAATTGGAAACAGGACTCAGATGCCCCTTTCACACCAACGCGGTTCCAGGGCCGGTTCGGAGCTGGAGCTTGAAAAGCACCGGTTTTTCCTGTTCACACCTCTAAGCTCCGGAATCCGCTTCGTTTCAAGCACCAAAAAGTTGTCGGTCTAGAAAGCAAGCACCGCATTGTCACGCTTACGTCGGAGGTGGGAGCAGGGGCGGGATCAACCTCTAACAACAACCAAAAGCCCAGCGTTTTATCCAGTTTGTACACAACGATGGAAAACCTAAAACTTAACAAGCAGCATTGGTCCACTAAAGAGACCAGCTACCTACTGGGAATCTGGTCTTCCGAAGAGGTACAGAGGAAGCTGGAGGGGAGCAGGCGGTCCAAAGAACTTTTGAATGTAGCATGTAACGACTGTAAAGTTGGTAGTAAAGTCGTCCCACTTCTTCCATTTCGTTTCGACAGAGCAAAACCAAAACGTGTAGCGCTTCAATACAATCGGTCATTGTTGTTGTTGTCGATGTGAGGGGGTTCTGCGCGGTTTGGCTTTATGAAGCAGGCACGCAAACGGTTACGTCATGACGCAAACGATGACGCAGCATCAGTCGGGCTCAGAGCGGTGTGAACAGAGCGGGAGCTGAACCCGAAGAACCGGTTCAGAACCAGAAAAGCTCTAGCGCGGAGCTAGAACGGGGAAAAGCCTTGGAGTGAAAGGGGCAAGGGAGACACGAGGAGAGCTGGAACTTTGATGGCAAACGCTGACGGTTTATTTGGAGCTTCGGCTGGAGAATTCACAAGACATATCACGGGCCACGAGTTGACCACACGGTAGAGATGCCAAACCAATTCTGAATAACTCTTCTGTAGTTCCAGGTTTTAACTAGTTGGGAGTGTAATAATCAACATTCTTTATCAGCGAGACTAAACAAATATGGACCCTGAATCTAACTAGAGCTGTCGTCCATAGAAAATAATTGCGCCAAGCTGCCTGTCCTTAAGAGAGATAGCAGCAATACCCAAGGCCGTAGACCTATGCCATGGGAGAAGAGAACGTGAAAGGAGAAAATTATGAACTGTGTCAAAGGTTGAATACCTAAGCAAATTATTCCCCAACAACTACCTAAAAGTGCTGACAATTAATCAATTTGTTTACCAACTTACAGTTATCTAAGTAATATTTTAACTTGTGACATGCTGCAATTACAAAAGCCAAAATTCAGCAAGCCAGGTTTTTCAATCAGGTAAAGTTTTCTCTCAAAATAACAAATGAGGCCACTACAGTAGCTATTATTGTGAAAAAACCTTTAGTGCTTAACAGAGGCCCACTCTCTGTGAATGAAAACATGGAGCTATTTCAGAATTAGCACATACACCAGATTCAAGCTAAAGTTTCAGCTCAGCAAACATCCAGAGCAACTGACACTTCCCTTCCCCTTTGAGCAAAGACAGAGAGGAAACTCAGACCCTCACAAGCTTGGCGTTACTTCAGAAGAATTTTTAATGAAAGGGACTCATGCCACCGACTACTGTACACCTGATATACTACTTCCTGAAAGTGTCTGGGGATACCATCCAACTCACAAAAACCACAAGCCGCAGTTAAAAAAGTATATTAAGAGCTAATGTTTGAATCTGTCATCTTTCAAGGATACATTTTATAAACAGCACATATAAAGGGAAGAGCAGGGAGTTCGATTTTTTAAATAATACTCCTGATTAAGATGAAGATTAACACAAAACGAGAAAGTCCAGTCCTTAACACAGATGGTCTGATGCCTAACAAGCTGCTGCTAACATACCTCCTCTCTATTTCCTGTTTCACAAACCCATGCCTACATATAACTTGGGGTCTGAATATTGCCATGTGAATTGTTGTATTGTGTAGTATTCTAAGAAGGCACAAAACGTATGAGTTTGTTGCTCCTTTCTCAATGGCTGGTGTGTCCATGTAAATCATATGATGTGGTGCAAGGTATATTAAACTACAGGTAACCATAGAAACAGTGCCTCTGCTTGGTGCCAAGCTGGCGATATTCTCATTTATCTTATCTTTAACAAATCCCATTAAAAGACTTAAACCAACAACAATTTGATCCTATTAACTATAACGTGTGGTCTTTGTAGTCTGATATAGCTTAATCCCCCAAAACATATGTTAAATACATTAGCCTTCGGCTGCAGGGCATGTTCCTTTATAACAATGAACTTAGTTTATGTTGGGTCAATCCTGCATCGTCCTGATGCTGCAATTACTCACAAGCACACGTGTATTAACCTGTGGATTAAAATGCTCAATACTTGTGTACTCTTTTAGAGGTTTACATTATCTGTGAGAAATAATTAGCTTTAGGCAAAGATTGGCAGACAGGGCAGGGAAAATGAAAAGTTATTGACGGACCAAAGTGTGCTATTTGTATTGAGGTCCATTTATTGGATTGTAGACAACATTTTTTTTTACAATAAAACATGTTTACACTCTCAATGGTGAATCAAAACTACCCACAGATTTAATTGACTGACTACAAATACAATGTATAACAATTGTTGCCTGTTGTTTCAGTCCAAAACTTACGTTTTTTCCTCACCTGCCATAATGGCATTGTTGTTATCCATAGACCATTCAATTGTTTTGTCTGTCCCTTCTCAATCTAACAATGAGTCAGTTGCACAAGGCAACAGTAGACACATGATATGTCATTTAACCTGATCCCTACCTATTTCTAACGAAGAACTTGCTTTTAACAATATAACAACTATTGATAAAAAATATATATATACTGAGGCATTATTTGCCTCCGCTTTGTACAAAATGTTCATAAATCAGGCACCTCGTTGTATATTTTTACTAATGCAATATACAGGCTCAGTTTCGAGAGCTTAATACAACTCTGACACTTCATTACTGCTATAAAGAGTTAAATACCTTTAGAATTTGCCATTACACTGTCGTCATAGAAAATAAATGAGTAAGGTAACACCATCTGCACATTTAGACATAAGCATTATGCTACTTGAAATGGGCAGTTCACATAAAAACAGAGGTGTGAGTTACCTAACACTTTGGTTCTGCTGGGTCTTTTAAGTGTAATGTTGGTGTGCTTAAGTCAAACACCAATGGCCAAATTGCATTTAGCAAAGAAGTTGCAAAATACAAAGTGGTTCACAGAGAGAAAAATACAATTTAAAATGAATAATAAAATACACAAAAAGCAATATCAGGATATGCTTTAAAAAACAATAGATTTGTAGATGAGACTAAAAGGAAGACACTGACTGAGACAGCCAAGCACAGGGAAGAAGTACACAATGTACTTGTCAACGTCTTTGATTTAAAGCAAGACTAATGAGTACAAGTTTGGCCATGTATTAGAGGCTAACTGTCATTTGAACCATTCATTGACGTATACAAATATCTAGCTTAAATACTCAATAGTACAATGCAATATTTAAAATGATGACATGATCTCTGTAATCTGTTGCAAAACAGATCAATTAGTATCATATTTGTTTTTGTAAGAGTATTTAGGCCTTAAGCAACATATTTTGGCCAAATGTCGAGCTTAAATCAAATGTCTAATAGCGTATGTAAAGCCCTAACGATAAGGAGGCTTGGCATGTTGATGATCCGTAGCTTACACATATTAAGTAGCTCAGGTTATGCAGTTATTTCGTCCTGAGAGCTGTCAAGTTATTAAATGACAGCTGGCTGTCCGAGCGTGACAGCCAATCAGAGAGCGTGCTAATGTTAGCTATCTGTAGATGCTAAGGATGTTGTAGCTTCTGTGCAACAAAAGGTTATACAGAAAATAGGTTGTCACATACATATCATGGTCCCTATTTCCATGGACATCTGTTTCGTGTGCTGCACGTGTAAACAGCTTTAAAACAGTTGCTGCAGCAGAAATGAGCAACAAGGCCTGGCTAGGCTGATTAGCCGACATAAGCTAATCCAGCTAGCTAGCTGTCACAGTTGACCTGCCGTCCTTTCATTATCTTTCTTTTCATACGAAGGCAAATATTGTCAAAATGTGAGGTCCAGCTTCCCCCCGGCTTGGTTACCGTGCTGGCCTGCCCCCCTCTTTCTAGCCCCGCTGGCAGGGGCAGCTCCCCCCTCCCGTCCAAGCCGCCGGGCCCTCCCCTCTCTTACCTCTGAATTTCAGTTCGTGCTGAGGCTCCAAGAGCAGAACCTGTTCCGGCCTGGCCATCTCCCAACAGCTGGAGGAGCGGGGTTATCTCACTGCAACCAGGTCCTGTCTGTTACCCCCGTGTTAGGATGTTGTTGCAGCGTCAATAAGAGTTGTTTTATCAATGAATTGTATGTGGATATCCTGTCCCCCCCGGTCACTACTCGAGCTACTAACGGCTGTTGTGATGCAGTAGGAAGGGAGCGAGAGACAGCCCGGTGACGTCACTGCCTCTGCATAGCCACCCAGCGGGGAGGGTGACAGCAGGGTGATGATAGGTGATGATGGGTGAGACCAGGGTGCTGGTGCTCCCCCTCAACCGATGTGAAGGGATAAGGTTAAAAATATGTAGGTTTTTATTTCAGCCCACAGCTTCTAAGTTTAGTATGAAGCAGTGATGGATTGTAACTAATATACTCCTGGATGGCTCGCTTGTAAACTTGAATTTTTCTTCAGTATATAATTTTCATGCTACTTTTACTTAGCAGAGGTAGATGTATTCAAATATTGCAGTACTCAGATATTTGACAAATAATTGCACAATGTAGAAATACAAACACAGACATTCCTTCATTTAAAATTGTACTTGAATATTAGCATCACAATGTACTTACAAAACAAAAAGTATACTCATTCTGTACAATGGCCAATTTATTCATAATAATAATAACAATAATAATAATAATAATGTTATATCACTGAATAATGAATGCTCCACTAATGTTCATTACTTTAAGGTACAGATAATGAAGGAGAATTTTAGTATTGCCAGATTCTAAAATGAATTAATAAAGTGTTATTATTATATAATAAGTAAAATCCTTATGCAGAATGTACCATTTCCAAATCAATAATCCTAAATTATGATTGATGCAATCCTGTGTCACACTTTAATGTTGCAAGTGGAATAGCTGGCTTACTTTCAGCAACTTTATATATTACTGGGTCTCTTAATCTATTGCATACTGGTCCCAACTGTCTTTGAACAGTGAATATGCATTTTAACCATCAAATCGGAGATACATGGTTCCACAAGCACTCTTTTGTGCACCTGTCAATCCTAAAATGACAGTTAAACAGTTAAATTCCAGGTCAAATGTACGTCTTGAGCCTTCACGTTGTCTTCAGTGACTTTAATGTCTGTTTCCTTGTGTCAGTATTTGTCCTTGTTGATGTTGCAAATGGAGCTGCTGTGATGTAGGAAAAATGGCAGACTTAATCTGACAATAAAGTAATTTCATATCATTGTGTCGCATCATGTAAAACATGTCAGATCATCAGTTACCATCTCTTCCTCCAATGCACACTTTTGTTTTTCTTCATATCCCCATGGTAACAATATATTCACAAGACAGTTTTCTTCCAAATGTTATGACATTACTGCATGTAATCTCATAATGAAAACATTTTGTAGATAACTTGGCATGGAAAAAGACTTGGCTCTGAACTAATAATAAAATAAGGTTTCTTTCAAATGTATTCCTACTTTTTATAAAGTACATTGCATTTGAAAAAACATTTTGTTTTCATTTTCAATTTTTTGGCAGCCTCAAAGATAAATATGACTTTTAAAACATATTTAAAATCTTTTAGTGCAATTTTCTATAATATTTCACATTAATAAATTCCTAGCATCTTGGTTTTCTTAAAGTAAAAAATATCCTTGACTTAGTTTGTTTTTTCATATAAGATAAAGACCACCACACTATATTTACGGTATTAATAATTATTTGACAATTTTGTATTTGTCTCAACAAAAGAAAAAAAACAACTTGATTACGTTGCAATGGGCTATAAAAGTGCATAATTAATTTTTTTATCAATTACATTTTCTGTATTTTTATTGCAGAACAAAAACAGGGTTAGTAGTTATGAGTCAAATTAAGTGGATCAATGAACCAGCTTGTAAGGGCACATGTTATTATTTAGACCTGAGAGGTTAAAACTGTTGACAGTAAAAATCTGACATTGTGAAACACTCCCATGTTGTCCTGGATAGCAGCTCAGCTGTACGCCAGAGTCAGTTTAATTTTAATTAATTTAATTAACCAATGTATTTGTCACCTGTCAAGCTCCAATGTTATTTCCAATCTGCCATGTAATGGTTGATTATAGTAGTGATACCTGGTGAGCCCTTAATTGTGACAGTTGTAGTTTATAGCCATACTTTTCATCATTTACTAACATGCTTTATAAAGAAAGTGGGGTTACGCGGGGGAATGGGAGGTTGTGTTCTGCCCAGTCAGCACTATTCAAAGTGCAGTGAAAAGCCCTCTGCCAGTCAAACACGCATCTCAAGTGTCATATTTATATTTATAGCCAGGCGTCTGTCTGCCGACTGAACAACACTACCAATCACTAACAAAATTGTCACTGTATCCCAGAGGAACAACTTAATGCAGACATCTCTATTGGGCCCAACACCAGGGAGTGAGAAACGTGTAGGAAATTCACACAAGACATATTTGTCAATCTTTTATTAGTAAACAAATTGACAATTCCCTTTTTACAGATTTGGAAATACACTGCAAACAAGTGTTTTCAGGCATTTTGTTACAATCAATATGACACATAGTCAAACGCTAAATATGGTAACTACAATGCTGATAGAATGACTAGAAACAAAGTATATTGTGGTCACACAAGTGGCTTAGAATAAAGACGTTGATTTATGTGCAATGAGATGGAATATTTCTACACTGAAAAATATACATAATACAGAATAATGACATTCCCAGGGCCAGCCCAAGACAATTGGTATTTTTCAATGCAAAACTAGCACACATTTCATATCCATGCCTCCTGTTTACATGGAGACACATATGTCATTATGAAACTTCAAATATTTTAAGCATGTATGTTATAAGCACTTTAAATCATTATATTACATTGACAGTTTAAAAAAAGCATAAGTATGCATAATTATGCAGAAAATATTTGGCACCGTGTTCTTGTTAGAAATAAGAACTGTGCAAACAGTCAAAACCTAAAATAACATTGAGATCATTAAGAAGTCGGACATTGTTAAAAAACGTTTCTTCAAGAGTTTTCACACAAATAAAAAACAGAAGACTGATTGATAGTAAGTAACACGGGCAAATTAATAAGTCATTCAAAGTGCAGCTTTCAAAGCACCAGAGTCATTCCCTTTAAATGTAAGTTTTGACCTAGAATGCCACTCTGGTTTTAAAACATCACACTGCTCATTTCAAAGAGGTCAATATAAACCTGTCATTATCATCTGTTCTACACTGCTGGAATGAGATCACATTTTCTGCTCTGCGGTATGAACATCATCACTCTGTTAATGTTTTATTTTCTTGGATTAGATCACATGTTACCTTATCATCATAACAACTATTGCACTCCATGGAAAAATCCTTAAGAAAATAGGCAGTACTGCTTAGCGCACAACTCATCAATAACAACTACATTTAACATGCGTAAAGGCAACAAAAAAGAAGGATTGCGCCGACCGAAGAGAACCGAATCCAAATGTATAAATGTGGGAAGGCTAATTAAACCCACATCTGTTTTTTGTTGGCAACTTTAGAAAGAGGTTTTGGGGTTAAAGAGGTTCAAGAGATACAGACAAGCATGAAATTACACAGAATGAATAAGTCTGTGGGGGCTCATGATTTAACTGAAGTTCAATTAGGCCAAAATAGGAGTTCAACTTCTGTAACATAGCATTAAGGATCATAGAGTATTGGGATAATAGAGCTCTGTGAAAGCTATAGTGTACCACATCTGTTTGAAACAAAACGAAAGCTGGACCTACAATAAGTGCCTGGAGTTTAGAGGAAGAAAGTAAAAGATGATGAGAGAAATGTAAATCAGAAGAAAGACCTTGGAACAAAGCGCATACAGTAATTCAGAGCAGCATGGAGAAAGAGGTTCAGTAAGGGGTCAGCATGTTGACACAGTGCCACGTCTGATTCTGCACCTACAACCTCACTGAGGGGAGATTTAGGCTCAGAAATCAGAGTTTCCAACCTCAATGTTTTCATCGCAGGCCAGGTAGTAAAACAATACTGCATGCACGAGCCTCTGCTGATTACGTGCACACAAAAAAAGAAAGATAAAAAATGTTTATGGGTCAATTACAGAATTTGGCAAGACCTCACAGAAATCTGGAAAACTGTTGAGAAGTAGCAGCAAAGGATTGAGGACAAGCATGCTCGCCTGTTTAAACAAAGCTAAAGTGATATTGTGAAACACTGTGTGCACGACAGGAAACTGCATATACAGGATTCAGTTATTACCTTTTAAGTAATTACAAGTTGATATGTGGGGAACAAGTGAGCAGCTGGAACTCTTGGAGACTGCGACAGAGTCAGCTAGAACAACAAAGTCCACAATTAAAAAAGAAATAGTTTGTTTTGGGGGATACGCTTTTTCCCTTTCTGTCTGAGTGTTAGACAAGCAGAACAATACAAAGCAGGAGGGTAAACACCTGGCTCTGACAGATACAACGTAGTTATTAGTGAGCTTTAGAGGGGCTGGTTGACAGATTTTGCTGCCTTTGGACGGAGCCAGGCTAGCCGTTTCCTCCCTGTCTTTATGCCAAGCTACGCTAACCGGCTGCTATTTAGTACTTAAATGAGAATGAATTGAAATTCTCATCTCACCGAAGGCAAGGACAAAAAACACATTTCCCAAATTGGAAAACTATTCCTTCTATATAAAGACATTAGGCTCCCACAATCCTTTTATTTCTACATTTTACATCAAAGCACCCATTAGGTATTTGGCCTTGAAAGACATCTTGATTAAAACAGCACTCACACAATAAAATCGATATTTAGCGTGCAAAAGCTATCCTACTTGAATCACCAAGATCCATCTAAATATCCTTTGAAAAACCTATGATTAAAGGCAAGTATAAAAACGTATGACTAGCATAACTTTTTCTCCAAACTGTTTTGATAAATTATTGATAACACATGTTAACTACAAAGATGGATCCTTCACAAAGTTAACAATGTTTTGGGAGAGACATCCCAAAAAAAAGGCAATAACTTCAGTGATATTAAAATAATTTGGTGAAATGTAAAGTTGTGAGTCTATGTTTTGGTTGAAAGATAAAAGGTTTTTGACAAATGTACAAGATGTGCAAATGATCTCTGAATTCATGAATCTGTAGATGTTTACTTCCTCTAATCAACCCGGGGCTATAATACACCAAACCGAGGTTGATATCCATTTTAGATGTCTTGTGTATGTTGGTCTTTCATTTGCATATCAATGTATCAATGCAAACTTGAAATATTTCTCCTGCCAGCAATCTTTAGCGGTATATATGTTTTTTTGTTGTTTACTGGTGCAAAGATGCATTTGCTTTTGTCATTAGAGTGGTACTGCTATAGGCCCATATCAGGCATGAGGGGTGTTTGAGTGTGTGGTGGCTGTACGCTGAAGCACGCTGGGGACACAGAGAGAGCAAAGGTCAGGTCAAAGGTCATGTAGGGACAGTCACCGGCATCATCAGCAACACGTCCTGCGAGACTCTGAGGCCTGACGTCCCAGTTTGAAAGCTTTTCCTGAAGTTCCTCCTGCTGATTCAGCAAGGGGGATGCGCTTACCTTTGAGAAAACAAAACAAACTTTCTTAGTTGTGAAACTTCAATTTTTCACATCTATTTTAAATGTACAAAATGTTTCTGTTAATGTATGTGTGACTGTATGTTTTTTCGATGTTAAAAAACCCCCAATAAAAATATAATGTTAAAAACATAAATAATGTACACCATTCTTCATAGTGCAGTAGCTCATACTGTGACCCATTCACCGACAGCTCACTAATTCTAAGCCATTTTTGAATGTTTTAACACTGAAACATTGGCCAGCAGTATGCATAATACAAACCCTTTCTTGATTGGGTTGATGATACATAAAAAAAAGAAGCACTATTCACTGAAAATATAAGTCATGAATATTTAGAAAATAATGTAACTTTATCTTTGTGAGCTTTAATTCCTATTATACAGTATTTCAAACTCGCAGTTTTTTTACGTTAACTTCTTGAATACATAAGAGCCAAACCAGTCCACAATGAAAACAAGAATATAGGACAAACTGAAACAAGCAGTTTCCCAATGACGTAATAATCCTGAATATATCATACAACACATGTTTATGTCTATCAAGTTTTTAGTACGCAGAAACACTTCAGTATGATGCATTTGTCTATGTTTCCCATATGAACACACTGCATATGCAAAAACTGCTTAGATTTATTATGTAGTATGGAATTAGGGCACAGCTTGTGTATTTCTTTAATGCTTATCAGTTGTCGAATCGACTGCTCCCATCTCTGCAAATGTGTGTTTTAAAACAAAAATGTCAGGATGCCATGATTAAGTGGATTGTGCTTTGGCATTATCTGCTGCTTTTTACTATCCCGCCCATCGCTGAAGTCTGATGCAAACACAGAAAAGAATGATGACTCCCTTGAAATATTTATAAACCATTCCTTAGCAATATTGTTCAAAAAAGACTGCAAAACTACCTGTTTTAAAACACAAAGAGAGACAAGATAATTATCTTAATGTGACAAAGCTTAATGTGACAAAGCTTAATTTGTCACGGCTCAATTTGAACCCGGGGTTGTACAAGAAGAAACACACTCACTTATCTCTATAAACACCTCGTTGATGTTAATGGCATTCTTGGCACTGGTTTCTACAAAGATGGCATGGATAGAGTCAGCATAGTCCTTGGCATCCTTCTCTAGCACTTCCCTGTAAATAAAAGAGGTATTTGGAAATCATTTTGTTGCAACATGCGGACAGATAATCAATTTTCATGCATTTCCAGATAACCTTCAAAATGTACTTTCACAGCTTATCATGTGAAAGATTTCCCAATTTCATGGAAGATATTCCCAAAAGCAGTGCCAGTTTTCCATGTTGTGGTAGATACAGAATAACAACAATAAAATCTTGAAATATTAAGTATGAAGGTGGTGAACAACAAAAAAAACAATAGAGCTGAGAGTGTATTCAGTCAGTTTTTGTTTTTTCTAAACTGTCTATGGCAAGCACTTTGTTCTGCTTGCAGAGACTAATTCGCTGTAGCTCCACACACTGAATTTCAATAACATTATTAAGCTAAACATTAGATATTAGGCATTAGATATTCCTAAAGTTCCTAAAATATCCTTCGAATAATTCTGCTTATCGTAGCAAGACATCTAAAGTCCCATTGTCACTCTCGCTGTATATGAGAAGGTCTCATCATACTTCACATTCTTGATAAAACATGTAGTATTTTCTCTAACTCCGGCTCACCTGGCGTCTGACAGGTCACATTTGTTGCCAGCAATGGCGACCACTATATTGGGAGGTCCATGCTGGCGCAGCTCCTTCACCCAGTTCTTTAGTGTTGTGAAAGATTCCTGTTGATAAACAATATATTATATATTTAACAATCCAGACTCAAATATGTATATATGTTCATTTAATTCATTTCTTGTTTTAACAGTTAATACCTGTATATCATGTTATTGTATCTTTAATCTTATTATTCTTGTGTGAATCTGTACTGTCCTGATTTTCGCTCTCACTCTGTTGCTGCTTAGGACGGAAGACTTTTTTGATATCGACTTTGGTTCGTTTTCGTCTCCGTGTGGACGGGGCCTGAGAGAAGGACTTACGTTTGCTGTTAAAAAGCTCACAGACCACACTTTTTATGTAATCATTGCTTTAACTGTTTTTAATCAGGTAGTACATTTAAGGTAACCTACACATTTACACCATACATAACAACACAGTTACCTTGAGTAGGCCCAGAACTACCAGAGTAGAATACTCTGTTAAAAGTAAAAGTCCTGCATTCAAAATGTTACTCAAGTAACACTAGAAAAGTATTAGTATCAAAATATACTTGGGCCCCGTCCACACGGAGACGAAAACAAACCGAAGTCGATATCAAAAAAGTCTTCTGAATTTCCCCACAGGGGCCAGTTTATCTTATCTCATCTTATTCCTCTTACCTGTAGTGCTATTTATCAATCACAATTGTTTTGGTGTGAGTTTTCAAGTGTTTTCAGTCGTAGAGACTCCTCTTGAATCTAATCGAATAACATGCATTTACTAAATAAAGAGAAGCTCTACTGATCTAAACTGAAGCTAGCTTACGTTAAAGCTTAGCCGAGTAAGACCCATTATTGTTTACATCCTGCGCTGTTAAGAGCCTGAGCGTCTCGTCCAGGAGTAAATGCATGCTTCCTTATAGGCGGTGAAACGATATAAAGAAAATAGTTCCTTCATGAAACCTCTCATACCAAGGTCTCTGGATAATCGTAACCAGTTCATTGTCGACAACCAGACATTGCTGTTGAGTTTTTAAAAAACTAAAATAATACCTCTTTTGTGATGTCATAAACAATGATGGCTGCCGCAGACCCTCTGTAGTACATTGGTGCCAGGGCACGAAACTGTAAGTAGACAGAGAAACAAAAGCAATGAGTAATGATGAGCAGGGAGGAGGTTCATATCTGCATATTGATTTAAAACTATATCAAAATGATGATCAAATTACCTTATGCAACAACATTCATAAAGTAGACTTGTCTTTAAAGTCTGAGGTTTAACAGATTTTCCTCCGATTTCTCATCTTTGTATATGCATAGGGCACTACAAATATAATTGCCGTTTAATTGTACAGTTATATAGTTTCACATCCTGTATATCAATAAACTGTGTCTTGGCTTTTCATAGACTGTGGCTAATCTGTCACATAGGCACGGGAGTTTTATTTGACTCAATTATATTGGTATACAAATGAGAAAAAAAGACACAGAACCATTTTCTATATCAGAGGCCAAGTGTTCGTAGCCTATTAGCCAAGACACTTTATATAAAATGGAAGTATGGCAAGTCTTTCCACCAAGACCTCACACATGTGGAAGCCATCAAGTAAAAGATGAGCAGAATGTGTCAAAAATAAACTTTTAGCATTTTGATATTTATGGAGGCCTTTATGTTTGATCTACATCAAAAGACCCACATAATCCAAACAACATGTGCATTTTATAAATTCATAGCTGCCAAGAGTTTTTTTTGTTTTTCTTCTTGCCAGGTTTTGTTATTTTCCTGGTAAAACACTTTTCAATGATCATTGAAACCTGGAATTAACAATGAGCTGACTGAAATCGCTCAACAACTATTCAAAAGCCAAGAAATATGATACAGTATATTGGTTTGAGGATGACACTTACTGACTGGATCAGATTTGATCCCAACTTTTGTTCCTCTAACCCCAACATCAGGTTCACATTTTTGTTCAACAACTATTAGATATATTGTCATATGTTGTTATATAATAGCTCAGACAGTCATATCCCCTTCAGGATGAAAATATAACAACGTTAGTTATTCCCTGCGAAGCCTTCCCATTAGCATCAGCTGTACTTTTTGGTGCTAATAGTAAATATTAGCATGCTTACACCAGGCTACACTGGCATGGACATATATCTTGTCTGCTATTTCATTCATCTTTCAGTTTAAGATGTGGTCAACAGCGATTTGATGAGCCTGCAAATGTCAGTGCAACTCAAATCCAATCACTTTTCCCGCCATTTCCAAGACAAACGGATATTATCAGACCATCCAATGAATAGAGAGCATAGAAGCGAGAAAACAGCAGTTGCATTGTGTCCTGTAGTTTCTCCTAACTGAAGTCACCTTGAAAAAAAGTGGACTAGGATCCACTGTCACAAATATGGACATTTAGCTTAAAATGCTAGCAATGGCCTCTACAGGTTTTTGAAGTAGTAGATGTTTCAAAATATGTATTTGCTTAATTTACCATATATTTCAAGATATAGTATTATTTCCCTCTCCTCTAACTAATAAACCCATGTATCATGATATTTATAGTCTGAAAAAGACCTTCACTTGGAATGAACCCTGCCTTCCTGCCAATTTAATTTTCCTTTTGCAATACGATGGAATAAACTATCTATCTTGGAGTGTTACCTCAGGAAAGCACACATTCCACATAATTATAGTTGTTGCTGCTGGACCCAAGTCCACCAACGGGAATCCAACTTGAGATATTTGGCAGAGACACTGGGGAGAGTGCTGTCTGTTTATTGGCTAGTGTTGGGCTGTCCCACCACCAGTCCTGTGTGGTCTCTCTCTGCCTTAACCCAAAGAGCAATCACAGCGAGGCCAGACGTCTGGCCACACAGCGACCCAGAGAACGACCTCAGTGATGCCTGGCGGAGCAGATTAATTGCCGAAATCACTAACTGGGTGCTTAATGAAAGAAAGCCTGCTATACCAGTAGGATTTAAAGCCTCCTTTGCTTGTTTTCTGTGCGAAGGAGCAGTCAGAGGGGGAGGACTCGACGAGCTGTTGACAGCTGGGCTCAGATGTACTCGTGAGGCCTCATCTGGTGTCGAGATATGAATTGTAGAAATCACAGAGCCTTCCTTTTCGCTCTGTTCTCTCATTCCATGTGCATTGGCTGGCTTTGTGTTCCCCTTTCTCAACTCAACACACTTAGATAGGCCAAAGCTCCACAGGAGTTAGAAAACAAGCCACATAAGGCTTACAAATTCCACAGAAGCTTTGTATGGGAAACACACACACATGCAAAAAAACCTACTGGAGGAATGTTGCTTCTTTTTCACACACGGATGTGAGCCCCTTGGGAATCTGAGTTGCCACATAGTAGTGAAAAAAAGGGAATTTGTGGAATTAAATAAGTGGAGAAAATGGAAAGAGCTAAAAAGAAATCACTGACAAATTGATTGTTACCAGGAAAGTAAATGAAAAGACATGAGAAAACATAAAGGGGAAAAAAGGGGTTGCAGATAAGATAAGACACAGTGGCAGCAGCCGCCAGTGGGCTGAGACAACTTGGGTTTCAACCTCTCATCTTATCTCAAACGAGGCTGCATTGAAGTCCCCTCAAGGCCGTGAAGAAGCCGAGGTCCCCGGGGGAAAAAGGAAGATAAAAGACAAACAGCATCTTATCTCACCTCTCTGGAGAGGACAGAAGCAGGGATAAGAAATTACAGCAGCAGGAAATGAAAATGCATGAGAAAAAGAGAAGGGCATCCACAGAATAAAAGGGGAAGCCATGTGCAGAGTTAAGGCAGAGAAATGTAGGATGCAGGGTGTGAGTCAAAAGAGAAAGTATTTCCTTACACTATAACCGTCTGAGGCTTGGTGTCAGGGCATGCTTAAATGCCAAAGCTGTACTAAGACACCAAGATGTATCCTCTCCTTATATATCACATGTCATATGCCAGTGGTTCAATCTTAAACTGTGTGTGGGCGATGAGGCATCTCAAATATTGCTGCTGTAGAGACACAGGAGTGTAGATTACATGTTGGTTACTGCCAACGACCAGTTTCAGACGTGCATGCAAGATAGAGTAACATAAAAAGCACATAAAGCAACGGGGAGGGGAACTCGTTGATTTGTGTCTCTAAATGTATGACTGCAATGAGGAAGAAGGAGTGAGATGCATATTATCTTGTAGGTTAAAGGTGACAGAAGGGACAAATCAATACTAACATTTTTAATTAACCGAACAGACGCCAGTCAGTGATCTAAAAAAAATTGAACTCATTACTCCACAACAGCTCCACAAAAGGGGGGCTCCTAAACCAAGAGCACTACAAGTAAGAAAGAAGACCTTTACATTTAGGAAGGTAAATGTTGCCCCCTATCAGATATAATGAATAACTGCACTTTTCACTATTCTTAGGAAGTGGTGCATGCACTCGTGTAGATAGTAATGGGTGGATTTTTAAATATGCTAGCTGTACATTATCATAACTGTGAGCTGCTGTGATTTGGCTGCCGAACCACATCATTTGAATCGTGGGCTATCCACCAGTCTATTAAAACAAATACTGCTGAAGACAAAACCTCAGTGAACATTACTGACCCGCTCCTGTCCTGCCGTGTCCCAGATCAGGAACTTGTGCAGCTCGTTTTGGTATTGCACTGTCTTGGTCATGAAGGATGCCCTGGTGAAAACAAAGGGGCTTCATTATTGATGTTCTATGTCATTTAACAAAAAAAACATTCACATGATTTAGATGTTTACAAATATTATTTCTGAATTACTTTTGAAAGATGCCTTTTTTGATTTGTGTTGTTTTTATTTTGACGGTGTATAAAGGTTTAGCACAGTTATTCGAACAAATAAAAAGTAACAATAATAAACATACACTTTTTTTAATCAATACAATTAGGGATTATCGGAGTTCTGGCATTTGTATTCATTGTTTATAATCTGACAATTATTTTTCTTAATTCATACATTTTCTTTGGTCTAATTTCAGAAAAGACTAAAGAAATGAATAAAGACAAATTAAATGAATAGCCATAACAATTTCCTAAAGCCTTACATGATGTATTCACCTGCTTCTTTTTTGGACTAACTGCCTAAAACCCAAAACTCCCAACATGTGAACATATTTTTCCGGAAAAGAGATTTCAATCTGATACATTTTCTGATCTTTCTAGTTCAAATTGGATTTAAATAATCTATAAATAGAGAGATAATAACTGAATTATTGATAATGTTCTGTGCGTCTCTACACACAAATCATGAAACCCATGAAACACATTATAAACGTCTAGCAATGGGAGACAGCAGGAATTTACCCAATTGTTGGGTTGATGTTTGGGTCAAAGCTGTCTTCAACAAATCTCCAAACAATACTCGACTTCCCAACGCCGGTGTCCTGCAGAGACAAAATAAGACAATGTTTACTAAACACAGTCGGAAACAATAACTAGAAGTTTAATCATAAGTGTAAAAACATATTCTCGGGCAATACGCCCAGACATTATTGCTTTTTCATGGCATCTTCATTCTTCCTGTTACCACTAGAGGCCTGTTACTGTGTGAGGATGTTACTTCAGGAGTCTATTATTTGGAGGCTCTTATGATAATTATGCTTCTGTTGTATGCAATATAGGGATGAATGTTAAGGATTTGAGCTGCAACTAATGCTTATTTTCATGTATTAATCTATGTTTCATTTTGTTTGAATAATCAATTAATCCCTTTATCTATAAATGTCAACATTCAAATCACAACTTTCCCTGCATACAAGTAGAACTTTTTTTCTGACAAGCAGTCTAAAACCTAAAGACACTAAATGTGCAGTTATAAAAATCTCATATCCAAAAAATGAAACCAAAAACGTTTAGTCAATTTTGTGTCTGACTATTTTCTAATAATCCAGTAAATTATTATTTCAAATTAGTAGGTGATAGCTAAAAGGAGATTAATGGATTAATGGGATTCTGTTAGCAAAAATATAAGTTTATGCTGATGTCATATTCAGTTTAGACATGAATTAACATTGTACCTTTTGCTGATTTGAAATTAAAGTCCAGGAAAAGACAGTACCATTATTTGACAGTGAGTCCCGTCTGCTCATCTGTCTACCGTACATAATTACAGCCAAGATTGCAGATTGTGTGTTATTATAAGCACACATTAGAGAAGCAAAACAATTTTGAATAGATATATGTTTTTTTTAAAGGTCATAAAATCCTAAAACAAAGTAAGAATATAACAAAGAGCTAAAATATAATATGAAGTAAACAAATGAGTGGTAGACAGTATTGCAAATAAAATAAATGTAAACAAGGATGTAGTAAATATTTATGTATGATGATAATTAATTAAAGCAATAGAGATGTAAACAGGAATGCAGTTAATAATAATAAGAAGAAGAAGAAGAAGAAGAAGAAGAAGAAGAAGAAGAAGAAAGAAGAAGAAGAAAGAAGAAGAAGAAGAAGAAGAAGAAGAAGAAGAAGAAGAAGAAGAAGAAGAAGAAGAAGAAGAAGAAGAAGAAGAAGAAGAAGAAGAAGAAGAAGAAGAAGAAGATACATTATTAACCAATGCAAGGCAACACAGATGTACACAGGAATGTAAAGTGATTATATGAATTATCAATACTACAAAAATACTTAAAGCGGTTAACAATTTTAAGTTAAAAAAGTAAGTAGTCTATAGACTTTACAGGTAAAGTGACTGTATGGTAAAATGACGAGGAGCAGTATGGATCATTTGATGACACAGGTACACTGAGATGTACAGTCAGGAATAACATACATAACGTGTTTACATCAACATCGATGCTGACTTACCCCCAGAAGACAGACTTTTAACTCTCTCAGCGCCATATCGATCTCCTCTACCTCAAAATGTGGTTCTAACGACGACCATTGGCAGTTTCCCCCTCTGCTTTATTTTTTTCTTTATTTAGAAAAATCTTCACGTGTTGTGTGTTTACAAATAATTTCACTTCGTCGTGGTAGAAAGCTGCCAAATGCGCATCTCATGTTAAATTAAAACTCTTGCTGTTAGCGTTGAAACGTTCATTAATCCGTCGTTTTTGCCATGTTGTGATGATTATAGTAAACTAGCTAACTGAAGCTCAGTCTCCATCTTGAACTACGTAGGGCGGTCACGTGACTGTTCCGGCTCTTTTTTGTTTGGAGAAAAACACACAAAGCGCACAGGCGGATTTTTAGTTATGGCGAGTTTTTGCCCGAGTTAAGGAAAGGTTATCGTTTTGGGTTGTTTATTGACAAGATAATCTACGGGTCAATCCCAGCGAGCATCAGGAAGTAGCGTCCTTCAGGAAGTAGTTTGTTCTCGTGTTTGAGTGACAGCTGTGCGGCGGTGACAGCCCACACGGGACGGCAGCCGCAGAGCCGAGCCGAGACTCAAGATGGCAGGTAATGATGGCACTTTTCAAACAGTGTTTTATATAATGATTTAACACTGTGCTGGAATTTACACAGCTGCATTGTGGTCTTTGGATTATACATTTTTTAAATAGCCTCTCCCACATTACTGCATGTGTGGTTTTCACAGGCACAGTGTTAGTAAAGGCGAGTCAAGTCAAGCGAAAGCGCTGGACAAGCCTTGTTAGCAAACTTAGCACTGCTAGCCAGCTAGCTAACGAAAGCTACTCATGGGTATCGAAATGTGAGACTATAAGGCTACATTTAACCATTCAACTACTCCGTATATGTTTATTATTTCACTAACTACCACTCTCTTTTGTAATTAAACAGTACCGCATGCTTTCAGCCGTATTTATTATCGAACTGTTGTCATAGCAAAGGCTAACGAGTTGACCTAGCCACCGCTAGCCGGGTTGCTAAAGTCATTTTCAGCCATAAGCTGACCAAATCCTCATTTTATACCATAACAAAGGGGAGATGTTGTTGTTTGCCAACATGTTTTGGGGGTGTTGTTAATGCACACGTAGCGCTATTTACTCCTAAAAACACGTTTGATATGTATTTTCGAGATAGTTGTTGTTTTTATATTTGGAGCACATTCCCCTGCATGCCCAGCTGTAAACACTGGCGTTAGCTGTCCCAGCACATGCGTCTCATTCTGGGACTTCTTTCTGGGCTCCTCTTTTGAATACACTACTCGGACTTATTGTCCTATAAACTGTGTTGTGTTAAATTCAACCAGGATGGAAAGCCTGCTAGAAATGTTGGCCTGTAACGTTATCACACTAACACATCTGTTAACACATTGAAGCTATCCTCTAACATGTCCAGTTTGTGTTTAACACTTTGGACTGGCTGATACTGGGACGGAATATAGATTAGAAAGGATTCTGGGTGCATTTTGAGAATCTGCTTTGTATTTAGGCAACATAATATGTATGCCATTAAGGCTAACTAGTTGGTTATTTGACTAGAGTTGAAACAATTAGTCAATAAATAAGTATTTTGATAATCAATTCATCTTTTTCAGTCATTTTTCAAGCAGTAAAGCCATGATATCAGCCTTTCTAAAGAGATGATGTCCTGTTTGTTTTTTGTCATATTGTAAAATACACCATTTCTGGAAATTAAGACTTTTCGTCTGACAAAACAAGACATATGAAGACATGTTTGGCTCTGTGAAATGTTGCAGACTAAACGATGGTTGTTTAATTGAGACATGAGGCATGTATAGTAGTATCAAGAGAAACATGACATTGGACTTAATGACTATGGAATAACACTTGATATGTCATTTTCAGCCACATACTCTTATTCTGTATACATTTGACCTAATTTATAGTTTTTATTTGGGCCACACCATTGTGTTAATGATCCAAAAGATGTTCATTTAAACCTATATAGATCGAAACCAACCTCGTTGATCACAAGTGTCACAGCAGCAACAATTGACGGTTAGATGCATAGTAAAGATTTCTTCAAGGAAGACAATAGCTAGTTTGATGGGCTTCTGTTCAATTCAAGTCAGCTTTAAAACCAACAATTGAGGTACTAATTGCTGTATTCACCAAAGAGTTATGGGAACTATAAAGGGGATTGAGACAATTGGTATAATAATTCAATACAAAAGTTTAAATAACTTGTCTTTCTTTCAAATTCTTAATTTGACAAACTTAACTAAATGAACTTGGTACAATACTTTTATGCAATCTATCACCTTATATTAGACATTAAAAGTACCAACAAGTTCCCATAGTGAATGAATGTATTCCCCAGTGTGAATTAGAACACTTTTGACCAGCGGCCAATCTTTGCTGGCCTTATATTGAGCATCACTGCTGTCAATCAGAAAGTTCCCTCAAACCGACATAAGATGATCCTAAAACTTAAAGATTGATAGTAGCCCACAATACATCACCAAAATGACCAGTGACAACAACATAACCTAATCTCATTCATTCTGTACACATTTCTTTTTGAATAATTTCTCACTAATTGACCAGGGGATCTGCAGTTGTTTTTTTAGGATCTAAAAGAACATTAGGTTTATATTTGGCTGCTTGTTTTGATGTCTTCCACATACTCATGACTAACCCAACTACGTCATAGTTTCAGTTATGCAGAGTGATCTATTGTCAATCTTACTGAAGAAGACTTTGTCCTTTCTTGGTAATTGTCAGCCTGTAAACCTGACTGCACAGAGCTCCTTTCATTTTGTAGGGGGGGTGGTGTATGTCGTGATGGTATGTTGATGACATGTTTGCCACCAATGGTTTCCCCCTCTAATTGCCTTATCCTTTCAGGTCTATCTTTATACTTTGAAGATGGCCACGATGATCTGGATGACTGTGAGTACTTTTCTTATTTTAATATAAAACATTTCTTGCATATGTGGAACTTTGTTCTCCCTCTCTTTAGCAAGGAGGTATTGAAGTTTCATCTTTCCGAGCAACCCCATTCACCCGTGCGAAATATAAAGCTGTCAACAGTATTTCAGGCTTTTACGCCTGGCTATTATTAGCCGTCATACAGGCCCGACTGTCCCTGTTGTCTGCATTAGTGTGGGCGATGAAACTGTTTGGATCCAACTGCAAAGCCAGTGTGTATTTATGTTTGGAACCATGGTTCTTGTTAGAAAAAAATAGTTTCCTGTCAAAGTGATGAAGATTTTTGTCACATTGAAATGGAAAAAATTCTGAACAATTTGGGTTTATTTCACTTAAAACAATAGATAGGCAGGCTATATAAGGAATTATATCATTAAGTCTTTTCGGTATTGTGGCATATGAATATATTTCATTGAAAAATGAGGCCCTTTTTTTGGCTACATAAGGAACGAGATTAGCATTAAGTGATTTGTACACGCCATGGTCCCACTTTGAAAACTGTACAATTGGCCAGTCTTCTATTTTCTATTTATTACCTAGCCTTTTACACAGAAGTAGGTGATTACCTCTTTATTTCAAAAAAATTCAAATCTAACCAATACAGGAAATGACTGCCAATGAGCATTTTTGCACTTTATTTAAATGTACATCTGTATGTTGCTTTGTAATTTATCCCTTTTTATAGCAAAGAACTTTCACAGCACAACTTGAATGATCACAAAATGAAAGCATACAGTCTTACATTGTACGTAGCTGACATCCTCGTGGATTCATCTTCTTATTACAGACACATGCATTTCCTAACATTCGGTCTATATGCTGTAACATGTATTATCTCTTCGATTTACACACGGCATCTATTGCACGTCTGTCCGTCCTGGGAGAGAGATCCCTCCTCTGTTGCTCTCCCTGAGGTTTCTCCCATGTTCCCTTTAAACTGTGGGTTTTCTCTGGAAGTGTTTCCTTGTACGATGTGAGGGTCTAAGGACAGAGGGTCTAAGGATAGAGGGTGTCGTTTTTCTCATACTGATATTCTGAACAATCTGTGCTGTTGTATTTGCTGTAAAGTGTCTCTACTGTAGGCTATTTTTATTATATGTACAGCACTTTGGCTCGACCAAAAATCGTTTATAAATGTGCTATATAAATAAAACTTGATTTGATGGGCTGCAGGTGCTGCCAGTAAAAAGATACATTTGTGCATTAATTTAACTGAAGCTGACATTATGACCAGAGAAGTTTAAATGTGTTCGACTTCAACAGATTCTTCCTAGTTATAACCAGTTAAAGGAAACCCTGGTTGAAACATTACAGAGTCATTAGTTAGACCCGAGGCCTTCTGCTACCCATTGTAGTTTCCTAATTTCTGACATTTAGCCTGACTCAGTTGCTTCAACGTGGCGCTGCGATGACTGTGGTGCATCAGTTAGCCCTCATTTAAATGATTTATTTTCTAGGCATCAGCTGTGTTCGAGAGATGAGGGTTTTTGACAATAAAAATGGTCTTTCTTTCCATCCCGCAGTTGGATTTGATGACTATGGTTCAGAGTGTGACGGCATCCGCATCACAGCCTTCCTCGATGCGGGACAAGATAACCTGACTCCTCTCGGGAGGCTAGAGAAGTATGCCTTCAGCGAGAATGTCTTTAACAGGTAAGTGGAGTCCCGTGGTCATGTTATTACTTCAAACCCATCTTTGCACTCAAGCCTTTTTATAGATCTCATTTAGCTTTTTTTGTTGTTGCACTTTTCAGTTTGTGTAAATCACCTCGTAACACTCAAACAAAATGCTTAATATCAGATGGGATTATAATCAGGGTTTTGAGGAACTCACTAGAATCTAATGTATAGTTGCGCATAACAGTATCATGCTTCAATCCAGCCACTGCATCCTTACTGACCTTTACCATGTCCACACTAATACCAATTCAGTCATTTATTCTACAGTCTAACTCGAACCCACGCCCACTTGCTAGGCATTATTCAGTATTGGTAAATATAAATTAAAAACATGTTTTCTACCTGAATGCACATAATTTGTTTTGGTGTGGAAGTTAAGCTCCAGAAATGAAAACGGAATTTTCAATGATATCTACAGTTGTGTCGACATGTCCTTCTAATGTTGAGTATTAGTGGGTTATCAGCAACAAGGAAACATCTGCGACCTTGTCGGACTTAGTATCTAGGAAACATCTGGCTAACGTCACTTCTTGTCAAAAGAGTGACGAAAAGATGCCAGATATCCAACAAAGCTTTTCATGTCATTTCATAAACTATCAGGAAACT